CTGCAGCATTATCATTTGGCTGTGGGGTGAAGGCAGGAAAAGCTGTGTGAACAAGCTTCTCCATTAATTCTAATTCTCCATTAATATATTTGAGTATTTGAATATCTGCTGTTTGTGGAAAACCAAGTAACGGAAAATCAGGAGAGGCACAGAAACAGAAAATGTAAAAGTTTACCAGGCTTATGTGATGGTGGCTGTGATGTAACGTGTTCAGGAGAGCTGGTTGGAGCCACAGAACTGGTTTGATGTAGAGAGTCTGTCAGAGAAAATACAAAACATAATGTGGTAAAAAACCTTAACCTGGATTTTTTGTTTCTTTTTATTATTCTATCTCTCCCTGTGTTGGTCTCACCGACTGCCAGCTGTATCTTTATGAATCTCAGCTGAGAGTCTGAACCACAGTAGTATGTTCCTGCATCAGCTGCTTCCAGTTCAGTGATGATCACAGAGAAACAGCTGGAGGAGACATTGAGCAGCTTGAACTTTGTTTGGTTCTCCATCATGTCTGTGCAGTTGTTGTGTTGGTCTCCTTTACAGAGGAACTTCCTGTTATCATGTTGTTGTCCTGAATTAGGACACTGCAGAGTTACTGGACGTCCCTCGATGCCACTGATGTTGTACGACTCCAGTTCTGTCAGAGAGATTTTATTCATACATGAATCTACATAAGAGTTATTGATAAAATCTCTGTGTATCAATTTATAAAACATGTGCTTTTTTACTGATTAAAAAATGGGGAGGTTTGGTGGGTGGAATGAAGGACCTTTGACCTCCAGCTCAACAGCAGTGAAAGCATCAAATCCTGAGTTTCTCTGGACTCCACAAAGATACGACCCAGAATCCTTCAGGGTCAGACTGGAAATGGTCACTGTGAATATTCTTGACTTCCTGTCATCAGAGAGTCTGAATCGTCCATCTTGTGTGTTGCTAGAGGTGATCACTGCCTGCTGTAGACATGTGGAGGGCCGGTTTCCTCTGCAGAAGAATTTCAGCTTGTCGATAGAATGATAGTCGTACGGACAGCTGATGGTCACTGAACCGTCTTCGTTACCTTGGATGTTGTTCACCGTGTCGCAGCATCTGTCTGATAGGAAGATAAGAAAGTGTCAGATAGTAAAAGATACATATCTGTACAGTTTACCAGGAACACATGAATTAAGTAAATTAGAATATAACAATTCAACATGATCTGCTAATATGGCTGATATTAAAATGTAAAAAAAAAAAAAAAGAAGAAATTATATTCAATGCATGCTTACTTGCTACTTACACATCAATACTTGAAATGTATATTGATTTTATATAAATTATTTTACTGTGTAAGAACTAAATTAGTATTATGCATTTCAACAATCATATTATACATTTTAATTAAATTTGCTTCCTTTTTATAATAATAATCATTTGTTATTGGTGCAAAAAGTCCAGAAGTTTCATTTATTTCAGTTCTTTGATAAGATTTAAGTTTTTTTTAAATCCCTCTGACTTCCTGCTGTGTCTTAACTTTTTAATCCAGCGGAGTTTCTAGAAGAGCGTTTATATCTGGAGACATTTATATAAAATGTTGGCATGGATGTCAAACCATTAAGGAACAAATCATCTCATCTAAACTTTATCAATGATGAATATAGCAGAAAATCCTCCAAGTTTGTGGAGTATCTTTACATATTTGGAAATATAATAAATACGAGAATTGTTATATTTATGCCCACATTCCAATATGTCAGTGTTATATTTGTGATAATTTAATAACATTTTAACATAGAAGTGTGATAATTGATTAAAACCAAGTCAAATTTAACTTTATTGATTCTGTTTTCACTCAGTTTTAATTCTTTCTTGCCTCTCTGAGGCCTCAAAGTCTCTCACTGTAGTTTAACATTTCCTATCAGTATAAATTAGCTCTGACCATCTGATTGCACTAAGACAGAAAGAGGGAAGCTCAAAGTGTTGCAACTCGGAGTCGATTAATGCCGGAAACATTTCTGCCAATTCATTATTGTGGGTGTCGTCTGTAAAGTTCAATCTATTATGCTGACTGAAATGTTTAACCTCCCAGTTAAAACTATTTACCTTCTTTTACTTCCAGCTGTACTTCAGTGNGTGTTATATTTATGATCATTTAATATTAAAATTTTAACATAGAAGTGTGATCATTGATTAAAACCAAGTCAAATTTAACTTTATTGATTCTGTTTTCACTCAGTTTTAATTCTTTCTTGCCTCTCTGAGGCCTCAAAGTCTCTCACTGTAGTTTAACATTTCCTATCAGTATAAATTAGCTCTGACCATCTGATTGCACTAAGACAGAAAGAGGGAAGCTCAAAGTGTTGCAACTCGGAGTCGATTAATGCCGGAAACATTTCTGCCAATTCATTACTGTGGGTGTCGTCTGTAAAGTTCAATCTATTATGATGACTGAAATGTTTAACCTCCCAGTTAAAACTATTTACCTTCTTTTACTTCCAGCTTTACTTCAGTTAAGAGATCTTTTCGTCCTTTTCTGTTCACTCCACATTTGTATTTTCCAGCATCATCCAAACGAAGATCAGAGATGGTCACAGTGAAGATTCTTGATGTTTTGTTATCATAGGTGGAATATTTGTTCTGATTATTTTGTGATCTTGTGAAAACATCCTTATTTCCACATGGGTCGTTACACATATATTTCTCATTACTTTCATAACCTTCATCATATCGACAAGAAACATTCACATTTCTTCCTTTGTATCCAAACACATGGATCAAACCTGCAGCACGGCTCACACAGCACACAGCAGCTGGAAACAGGAGAGAACAAAAATATCATTAAATACAATTAAGTTTAATTCAAAATCAATGTCCTTTGAACAAAAATATCATAAAATTCTTAGTCTGAGTGCTCAGTAAATATATAAAAAGATAAGGCCATATATAAAAGACAACAGATAGCTTGTAAATGTATGTATTTAAAAACAACTCAAAAAACAAAAGTAGTATGACAGTTACGAGGCACCATCGTGTTTTTTGATTTTATTCTAAATTTTTATAATGTTAAGATGACAAAATCTACTCCTGCTTTTTAAAGCCACTGGAAAATGTTGAATTTATATTTGAATGAATATAAAAACTTACCAGACAAGATGAACAACACGACCTGGAAGCTCCACATCTTTGCATGACTGAGGACGACAAACTAAACCAGAAATGAAGTGAAGCATGAAGTATTTTAAGGAAACCACATCGGTCTGATAAGTTCAGCCCTCTGCACAAACATCAGCAAACCTCAGAAATGAGGTGTGAAATGATGATTTTTTTTTCTGTTTTTCAAATGCTAAAACTGATCTCTGTCAAAACGACCAGGAAACTAAGAAGACATGGTTATAATTAGTAAGATAAAAATAAGTATTTAAAAAGTTGGAGGAAATGGTCATAGGAAATGTGAGAGGGCTGAGGTGTAGTGGTTAGCGCTGCATCATCGCATCAAACATATTTCCTGTTTAAATAAAAATAAAGCAGAACTTTCTGTCTATAGTTTGCTTATTTATTTTAGAACATTCGTCGATGTTCTCCATGTTTTCTTTCTGCAAAAGCTGCTTGAATCCAGTGAATAAAATGAGCATAAAGAAATAAGTTGTCACAAAATGAGGGTAAAATAAAAATTTACTTTTAAAGTCAAAATGACAAATGATAAACATCATAGAAACACAAAAAGATTACCAAAACAATTTAAGAGGATGAAAATGTTGCAGATATAATGAAAGCATTTTCACCTTCATGATTTAGTCTTAATTTAAAAAGAAACAAAGGCTGGTTTAATAAAAACCTCTTATTTATTATGGTGTGGTGAAAGTTAATATAAAACAAGCTACATCATTAATACATTAAAACCTTTAACATTTAGCATAAAATCTTAAAATTAGTTTGAAAGCATTTCATCACTTTTCTTTCCAACAATCAGAATGTTGTTGAGAATCAGCAGCTTCATCATTGCTCCTGGTTCTTAGGCCTTTTAATGAGTGATTATTGGATCCAGTAATCGATCGGCTTTTGAGTACAGACTCTGGACAGCACTGATTTAAACATTTAACAATTATCACGAAATCTTTAAACTAGTTTGAAATGTTTATAATAATTTCCTTTGCAGTGCATTTCATCACTTTTCTTTCCAACAATCAGTATAAAGATCTTCATTTGTGGTGAGACTTTGGTTCACATGTTGTTGAGAATCAGCAGCTTCTTCGTTGCTCCTGATGCTCTGATGTGAAGGTTGAGCTGTCTTCTGGATTTTCACAAATCTGAAAAATAATCATTTATGATATTCAGACAAATGAGAGTTATATTACTGAGCAGACCAACTTATCTGGATGAATGTTCATAATCTGACAGGACAAAACCTGAAGGATCTGAACACAAAGATAAAGTCAGATTCAACTGTGCAAAGAACCAAAGTGGAGGTTGATGAAAAAAATAATTTATGTAGGAGAAATGTATACTGAATCCTCTCAGGCTGGGAAGATATGTTTGGTTTGCATTTGCGTTCAGACTTCTCTAATCCACCAGTTAACATGTTGATGAAGCATCTTCTGAGATGCAACAGAGACCTTGATAAACTGAACTGAAACAGAAAACTCCCCCTAGTGGACATAGAAATAAGCAACAGGAAACATTTTGGATCCAGACGTCATCACTTCTTTTCACTTTTGTTTTAGATATTTCATATGTAATTTATCCAGGATAGTAAGACATATAGAAATCCACCAGTGCAGTCACTAGCTGTGTTTCTATTACAATTGTGTGCACATATTTTGTCGATATTCTAATGAGATATTTTCATAATTCTGTCATGGCGCTAGCTCTTATCTATCAGCCATCAGAGGAGATATTAGCATCTTATGTTGGAGTGACAAGCTTCTTATTGGAAGCTGCTACGTATGCAGCGTTTTGGGTAAACTGCAGCCTGCGATTTCACAGAAGAGCTGTGGATTTTCCACGTTTGAATGACACATAATTNCAAACATCATAGAAACACAAAATTATTATCAGAACAATGTAACAGGATGAAAATACTGCAGATATAAAAATTGTTTTCCTCTACAGAAAGTCTGATCATCTTCAGGATTTAGTCTTAATTTAAAAAGAAACAAAGGCTGGTTTAATAAAAACTTCTTATTTATTATGGTGTGGCGAAAGTTAATGTAATAAAACAAGTTACATCATTAAAACATTTAACAAATAGCATGAAATCTTAAAACTAGTTTGAAATGTATATAATAATTTCCTTTGCAGTGCATTTCATCACTTTTCTTTCCAACAATCAGTATAAAGATCTTCATTTGTGGTGAGACTTTGGTTCACATGTTGTTGAGAATCAGCAGCTTCTTCGTTGCTCCTGATGCTCTGATGTGAAGGTTGAGCTGTCTTCTGGATTTTCACAAATCTGAAAAATAATCATTTATGATATTCAGATAAATGAGAGTTATATTACTGAGCAGACCAACTTATCTGGATGAATGTTCATAATCTGACAGGACAAAACCTGGAGGATCTGAACACAAAGATAAAGTCAGACTCAACTGTGCAAAGAACCAAAGTGGAGGTTGATGAAAAAAATAATTTATGTAAGAGAAATGTATACTGAATCTTCTCAGGCTGGGAAGATATGTTTGGTTTGCATTTGCAATCAAACTTCTCTAATCCACCAGTTAACATGTTGATGAAGCATCTTCTGAGATGCAACAGAGACATTGACAAACTGAACAAAAACAGAAAACTCCCCCTAGTGGACATAGAAATAAGCAACAGGGAAAGTTGGATCCAGACGTCATACATTTTTTTTCAATTCTGTCTTTGAGATTACATATGTAATCTATCCAGGACAGTAAGACATATCAAAATCCACCAACTCAGCCACGAGCTGTGTCTCCATTACGAATGTGTACAAATGTTGTTGATATTCGAATGTTGAAAAAACACAATTTCTAAATCAACGGGTTTCCAGAAGAAATTAAATTAAAATCACTCATTTGACAGTTACATACATATCAAATCAATCAAATTTTATTTGTATAGCACATTGTATAGCATTGTATAGCACATTTCAGCAGCAAGTCTTTTCAATGTGCTTTATATAATTAAAGAAATAAAAAAATAAGCACAGCATGCGACACTGTGAGATGTATTTATTGTTCAGTCATGGCGCCAGCACTCTTCATCTATCAGCCATCAGAGGAGATGTCGGTGCCTTCAGGTGTACGAGGAGCAATAAGCCCCTCATAATTAGGAGCGGCTACGTGTGCAGCGTTTTGGGAAAAATGCAGTCGGGTGATTTAACAGAAGAGCCACATATTGAACCTGTTTGAATGACACTCAACTTGTTATAAACTGTGTGACGCTGTGAGAGCTGTGATGGAGCCTGCCACACATTGTCAGAAAAAAACCCCAAAAAGCAAAACAAAAAACAAACCATCATCCTAATTCTATTTCCTATCGTTTTATTCGACTTTTTTGCCAGCAGTAACATCCGGCTGTGTATCATGTGACTTGTATGATGTGAATAGTGTTTCCATTGCAGCTTTGCAAAATACATCTATTTCAATACGACTAAAAAAAACACACTGTGGTTGTGTTGGTCTCCTTTACAGAGGAACTTCCTGTTATCATGT